TCTGAAGCATTACAGCCACGGCAGCCAGCATCGGTGCTGCAGGCATCCCTCAGGCAGGCCTGGTTACCATGGTGATCGTACTCACCTCCGTTGGACTTCCTACTGATGACATCACTCTCATCATAGCTGTTGATTGGTTCCTGTGAGTAACGTATTGTAGTAACGTTCCTGATCACCCTGCTGAAAAAGCAGCATATGTTGTGTTTTGGTGCTGGTTTAGCTTCTGGACCAACATGAGACGCTGGTGAGGGGATGCTACTGGTCCAGCACCAAAACACAACATGTGCTGCTTTTTCAGCAGGGTGATCAGCAGATTTATGGTAAATGGCCTGTTTTTGTTATGGTGCCACCCTTTGGTCTGATTACTGCTTTGAACGCTCTTCGTAGTCCTTCAAGACCGTTGGAAAACCATTTCAGGTGACTTCCTCCCGAAGCTCATCAAGAGAATGCCAAGAGTGTTCAAAGCAGTCATCGCAGCAGGGTGGCTAGAAATGAAAAGAAAAGACAATAGAATCTAAAACGTGTTTTCAGTTATTTCACCTTTTCCGGTTAAGTCAATAACTCCTCATGTGTTCATTCATAGTTTTGATGCCTTCAGTGAGAACCTCCCAAAGTAAATGGTCATGAAGATAAAGACAACACATTGAACAAGGAGGTGTGTCCACACCTTTGACCTGGACTGTAGGTGGAAAAAGAAAAGAAGGAGCCCAAAAATATACAGAAAAGGCCGACGGCCCACCGCGCCGAGGGGTCGAGTTCATCTACTGCGACATGGGCGTCAGAAGCATAAACAATGTGTTTTATGGAGGGGGGGGTGCAGGAAAATAAACATGGTGTGGACGCCATTTCATGTTGTTAAACACCTATTTTACCTACAGTATTAAAACCTAAACTTCTCCACACACCAGCTGATTAATGCAGAAAATACTAAAACACTACAAAATAGAAACTCCATCCATCTTCCGCTTATCCGGAGTCGGGTCGCGGGGGCAGCAGCCTAAGCAGGGAGGCCCGGACTTCCCTCTCCCCAGCCACTTGGGCCAGCTCCTCCGGGGGAATCCCAAGGCGTTCCCTGGCCAGCTGAGAGACATAACCCTAATCCTAACCCTGTCATATCTAACCCTAACCCTGTCACATCTAACCCTGTCATACCTAACCCTAACCCTGTCATATCTAACCCTAACCCTGTCACATCTAACTCTAACCCTGTCACATCTAACCCTAACCCTGTCATATCTAACCTTAACCCTGTCACATCTAACCATAACCCTGTCACATCTAACTCTAACCCTGTCACATCTAACCCTAACCCTGTCATATCTAACCCTAACCCTGTCATATCTAACCCTAACCCTGTCACATCTAACTCTAACCCTGTCACATCTAACCCTAACCCTGTCATATCTAACCCTAACCCTGTCACATCTAACTCTAACCCTGTCATATCTAACCCTAACCCTGTCATATCTAACTCTAACCCTGTCACATCTAACCCTGTCATATCTAACCCTAACCCTGTCACATCTAACCCTAACCCTGTCATATCTAACCCTAACCCTGTCATATCTAACCCTAACCCTGTCACATCTAACCCTAACCCTGTCATATTTAACCCTAACCCTGTCATATCTAACACTAACCCTGTCATATCTAACCCTAACCCTGTCACATCTAACCCTAACCCTGTCATATCTAACCCTGTCATATCCAGTGTTGGGAGTAACGCCGTTTAAGTATAACGGCGTTTCTAACAGCGTTCTTTCATAGGTAACGGAATAATCTAATTAATTACTTTTCCCGCCGTTGCAACGCCGTTACCGTTACTGGGGACGGAACGCTGTGCGTTACTATGTGCTTGTCGAACGTTGAGCAACAGCGTGAGGCTTTCTGACCGCCACACTTCAGCTGCAGCCAGGGAGAGAGAAGTGTCGGTAACACACTTACAAACACGATGATGATTGGCCGGGTGGGCGGAGACCCTCACGGTCTCAGTCGCTGCATTCTGTAGACACAACGGGAATAACTCCGTTTAAAATAACCGCGTTAATAAAAAAATATGTCTTTCTGTAACAAGCAAACTAATTAATTACGTCTTCTTTTATCAAAACGTCGTTCCTGTTACTGATAAGAAAATGCGTGCGTTAAGCAGCGCGGTGTGTTGAAGCTGTCGTCAGCTGATCAGGAGCTAAAGAGGCAGATGTTTAAGAGCATCACGGCCCGTGAAGAACGAGGAAGACGTGATGAATAGTCTACGGCTGCAGACCCGCAGATTTGTTGCTGCAGCAGCGAATCTGCGGGTCTGCAGCCGTGCCCTTCTTAGCGTGACAGCGGGACGTCCCGAAGGTCTGCTCACCTGTTCACCGCTCAGACGTCCTGATCTTCTACCTTCCTAGATCATCCAGCTGTAACCTGTTTCTGATCATGTCTTTAGTCCCGCTGTAACACTGATGCATCAGTCTCAGACGTCATGGAGCTCAGGTGTTATCAGAACTACCTGTGT